TTGTGATGTCTGTAGGTTTCATGCTTGTAGTGATGTCTCTGGTACTTTGTGGTCCTGGCAACATTTCACTCAGAGCCCCCCTTAGGATCTCTTGTAGGGCTGGTTTAGTGGTGATGAAATCCTTCAGTTTTTGTTTGGGAAAACCTTTAACTCTCCTTCTATTCTGAATGACAAGCTTGCTGGGTAAAAGATTCTTGGCTGCATATTTTTCCTGTTTATCACATTGAATATTTCCTGTCATTCCTTTCTTGCCTGCCAAGTTTCAGTAGATAAGTCTGCTACTACCATTATGTATCTACCTTTGTATGTTAAGGCCTGTTTATCCTTAGCTGCTTTCAGAATTCTGTTTATCCTTGTATTTTGCCAGTTTCAATATATGTCATGCAGAAGGTTTATTCATGTTACGTCTGAGAGGAGTTCTCTGTGCCTCTTGGATTTCAATGCCTGTTTCTTTCCCCAGATTGTGGAAGTTCTCAGCTATGATTTGTTCAAGTACACCTTCAGCCCCTTTCTCTTTCTTCTTATTCTTCTTGAATTCTTATGATATGCATATTGTTCTGTTTGAGTGAATCACTTAGTTCTCTAATTATCCCCTCATGATCCTGGATTTTTTTATCTCTCTTTTTCTCAGCTTCCTCTTTTTTCCATAATTTTATCTTCTAATTCACCTATTCTCCCCTCTGCCTCTTCACCCGCACTGTAGCCACCTCCATTTTATTTTGAACTTCATTTATAACATTTTTAAATTCCTCATGACTGTTTTTTGTCCCTTAATCTCTGCAGCAATAGATTCTCTGCTGTCTTCTATGCTTTTTTCAAGCCCAGCAATAAATTTTATGACTATTACCCTAAATATTTGTTCAGTTATATTGCTTATATCTGTTTTGATCAATTCTTTAGCTGTTACTTTTTCCTGGAATTTCTTTTGCAGAGAATTCTTCCTTTTCATCATTTTGGCTAATTTTCTGTCCCTTATGCGTTTTAAAAGCTTTTTATATGCTCTTCACCTGTGAGCACTGCTATATTAAAGGGGTGGGGTCATACAGTGTCCATGGCCTGGGCCTTCAGGAGATGTTTTTTGGAGAGTGTTACTTGCTGTCTGTTGTAGTGACTTTGCTTATTTTATTTCCCTACTTGTAGTGATGTTTTGGATCCTCCATCAAGTGTGCTTTGATTTGTTTCTTGAAGTAGCCCTATAGCCTGTAAGGTTGTACCAGTGTCTCCCTGTTATACTCAGTCTCTTTTCCTCCCAGACTCTTGGGGTTCAAAGTCCATTGGCTTCAGACTTTCTTTGTTTGAGAGATGCAGAAAGTACAGGTCTCACTACTTCTCCGCCAGGTTGCCCCCTTCTCAGAAGCCTCAGGCAGGAGTTTTAAAGTATGCATATATATATATATATATATATATATATATATATA